GCAAGGGCAGGATCAGAAAGTCTGCTGATCTACAAATCTTCAGGTTCTCCCTTTCCTCAGTGAGGGGGGCAGGAGATTGCATTGGTGATTCCAGCCACCAGGCTGTCTTAGGGTGAAGTTACACATTTCACTTAGACCATACTGAGGTCATTTAATATGAGTGTCTGCACATTAAAACTTGTTAACTCATGCTAAGGGGCCTTTGAGTGTTTCAAAAAGTTATGCCACTTCAGGCAAGGGTTAACTCTCAGACATGCTACCTAGGTCACATTGGAATAATTTCAGTCTGCTACACAGAGATAAAATGAGCAATTTGCACTCCTCCAGCAATGCAGGATGCACTGCTTTCAGCCCCTCAACCCCGGGACAGGGATAGAGCTCAGGAGCCCTAGGTCCTAGCCTTACCCCTCCTAGCCAGCCCTTTAGTGGCAAATCAGAGCTATGCAGGCAAGAAACGATATTAAGCCTTAACTTGAGGCTATTCACAGCACATTCTAACTTTAATACTGCCTAACATTCCACAGATTTAGTATGGTTTAAGTGCAACGTGTAACTTTACCCTTAGACACTCACAGTGGGTGAAGAAATCCAGAATGCTGGGGTCATTTCCCCCACCTGCTATTACTTTTCTCTCCTGGTCAAGGTTTCATACGCTCTTATGATGGTGGCCTTCTAGTAAACTGTTACTGAACTTTGCTAGAAAGAGCTGTAAAACTCACATGTTCATAGTTAGACATACAGCTTTACCTTTGCAATTGAAATACTACACACCTTTTCCTAACTTCTTCTTGTTTTCCTTAATATGTAAGAATAATTATGAATAGAGGTACATCAATACATCTGTCCAATATCAGATTGGTACTGATATGAAGAAAATTGTCTATATTGGATATCAGCCCTATGGGGCCGATAATTTGGTCAATAAATGCCCGTGCTGTGCCTCCATGGTGAGGGAGGGGGCAGGGGAGAGTGCAGAATGGAGGCATGGCTCATGGCATGGGGGCAGTTCCCACTGCTGCTTGCACCCCAGGGGCGCATGGCTTTTCCTAGCACTTGGGTAGAGGTGAGGCGTTCAGCCGGGGCTGTACCAGGCAGTGGCGTGGGACTGGGAGCAGAGCTGCGGTGAAATTTAGGGTGGCTGCAGCCTACTCTCAGTGCTTCTGGAGCCTGCTCCAAGCCCCACCCCCAGCAAGAAGGGGCCTGCATAGCACCGGCTCCAGCTCCACCCCGCAGCTGCCGCCCACCCCATGCCGCACAT